CCATCGTGAACACTACTGATTTTTGAGGTTATGTGCATCAAACGCCAAACCGTATCGCATTTCAGGAGGTTAAATGTTACTGTTTTAAAACCCCAAAAGGGCGGGAAGATATATAAAATTTAAATTGTTATTTCGGTTGTATCAAATCTAAAGCTCAGAACTTTTTTGTACACCTAATAAATAACTTGCAGCATAAATTTACGTGTCATTCCTCGCTTCTGACGTCACAATTCCAACATGGCCGCCGCGGAGCCTTAATTATGATATAAAGAGATGTAGATTTTTCTAAAAAATGTAAAGTATTTTCTAAAGTAATTCTTATATTTCGAAAATGTGGAATTTATTTCATTCGCAGAATGAATTACCTATCGAATGAATCAATTCCTTCTTAGGTACTTATTTTTTCCAAAAATGCAATATGTTCATATAATCGAAAAGAATCCATATTTTAAGGTTCTAATAGAACTTAGTAAAAGTAAGTGTAATGTTACTAATACTTTTTTTATACATCAAAAAAAATCAATTTAACGTTGAAGTACATGAAATGGCATTTGTTTGATGACGTTGAATTGATCAATTTGGAATAATTGCGTTTAGCAGTTGCAATGGGATAAAAGGAAGGTACTATCGTCGTCCTTAAAAACAATATATAGGTATACGCACATATATATTCGCACATTATCTTCACGAATCATTGCTTTATTACCTTTCTCTATTCGGAAAACGATCAGCGAGATATTACATGAAGAATAAAGAGCGTTAGACTGTAAATTACTTATATGTGTATACCAGAATACAATGTACAAAAAACAATATTTACTGCATACCTACTTATATGTACACACTCGTACGCATTTACGTAAAACATCCACTCTATTTTCTTAACTCAATATTGCTCGATTCTCGAAAAATTTGCCATTTCGATTATAAATTATACGGTAGGATGCGCTTAGGATCATAAGAATGCAAAAGAGAGTATTGTATATAATTTGATAACGAGTGTGTGAACGAAAACGACTAAGACATTTAGTTAAAAAAAGAGTTGTTGTCCAAGGAAGATAATGTATCTTATGTACTCGTATAGCAAATAGATGTTGAGAAAAGTTCTCACGCGATATTTCTCGTACTATACTCGATTAACGGTTTACGAAATAATAGGTATATTCTTCTCGTGTTAGAGGGACTGAAGGTGTATGAGGCTGAAGTTTGATAATTATGAGAGAGAGGAGAGAGGGGAGAGAGGAAGGGAAGGGGGGAGAGAGAGAGAGAGAGAGACCGATTGCAAAGCCACGAAGTCTGCTTTGTCTTGTTATAATCAAATACTTTGTATTATGTAGCACAGGTTGTCATTAAATGTGTGAATAAACCTATATCATTAAAATCACTTTAATCAAATTGACAAGTATCAATCAAAATGCGAGATCTTATGATATATTATCTTTATTTATATTCAGTAGACGAGAAAGTAGAATTATAGCCAAGAGAAATGTAATTTTCAAATTCTGCTTTACGAGAATGATAGAAGACATAAATTTCATGCATCTTTGTAATTAAATATTTTAAGACTTTAAATGACTTGATTAATTGAACAGCAAGAAAAATTGTCAAAAAAATTTTTTGATTTGTTACACTATAAATTCTTCTATTTAAATCTTACTCTTCTAATATTTTAATGGATCTTCTCGGCTGCAATCATTGATGCGCTATGATTGTTTTTTTGTCATTTATTTTCAACTGATTTATATTTCTTTTTTTCTCGTGAAGCGTGTCCTCTTGTGTTTCATCGGGATCAATCTCCACGATCGATTGCCAAGGAATTGGATTTATGTATGCTGGCTTTGCTTTCTGATGAGCTATAAGATAACGCATTAGTTCATTTTAATATAGTGTTTTTAATCATAGCGAGTTTAGTCAATACAGATCTCTTTTACATCATTAAGGCCCGGTTGCACCAACATTACTTTGACTTTAAACGATCTTAAAAGTTTGTCTATCCTTGCCTCTCTTTCGATTTTAAAGACAGAAAGTGAATTTTTTCAAACCTTGCTTAAAGTCAAAATAACGTTGGTGCAATCGGGCCTAAATTGATTAGTACTGACGGGGTAACCATTAATTGAAATATTTGATCTGTTTTCTGTTCCTGCACTAGACTGCTCTAGAACTCTCTTTCTCGCTTTCGACAAAGTGTACGAGGTCTGGCTATTAAATAACGAGACTGCGCGCGCAGAAGGCGTCCTAGAGGGGTAGGGTGGGAAACGAATGCAACGTTGGATAGCTGGAAGTGTCTACTATTCCAGTACGAAAACACGTTTTTGTCGCAGTAGTAGTATTTTTTCTATAGAGGTTAGAAACGAACTTGTTTTTTTCTCGTGCCGACAACAATGTGTGACGAAAAACACGAGCAACGGATCAATGTGAAATTTCTCGTTAAATTAAAAAAAACTCCGACTGAGTGCTATAAGTTGTTGAAAGAGGCCTATGGTGAGAATTCTCTATCTCGTGCGCGTGTTTTCGAATGGTATAAACGGTTTTCTGAAGGCCGAGAGAGCACCGAAGATGACCAACGTCCAGGTCGACCTGTCTCTGTTTCAACTCCGCAAACAGTGACCAAAATCAATGAAATGACTGAATGGGTTCCAGAGGGTCAAACTGTAAACCAAACTTACTATTTGACAGTTTTGGCAACACTGCGAGAGCGAGTTCGTAAGAAACGGCCGGAGTTGTGGAAAAACAAGTCGTGGATCTTACACCAGGACAACGCACCTGCCCATAACGCGCTGTCTGTGAAGCGTTATTTAGCCGCTAGAGGCACTCCAGTGCTCGAACACGCGCCGTACTCGCCTGATTTAGCACCCTGTGACTTTTTCCTGTTTCCGAAGATCAAGTCTGCCTTAAAAGGAACCCGGTTCGAGTCGATGGAAAAGGTGAAGCGAAAATCGGCGGAGCTCCTAAATGCTCTTACAAAAGAAGACTTCCAGTATTGCTTTGACCAATGGAAAAAACGAATGGAACGGTGTGTGGCGAGGGGAGGGGGGTACATTGAAGGGGAGCATTCAATTGTAGAATAATTTTTAAAATAAAACTCTTTTTCATAAGCAGTCTCGTTATTTAATAGCCAGACCTCGTATACTAGTTCATCTACAGAAAACAGATCTATTGTCTTACAGATTACATGATTTCATTTGTTTCGTACAACTTTATCTAATAACAAATAATTTTCTTTACTATATCTGAAGTCATTGATCAAATAAATTATTTTATCTAATATTACACAATTATTTGTCATAGTAATTAATATAATTAATTAATATATGTAATTATTGGATTATATACCGGAATTTCATATTAATTTTATAATGATTTCGGGAACTTTATTAATCCCACGATTACGTTAAGTGATTATTCCTTCGTTTACTACGCGTATCAAATTGACACCGACTAAATATTTAAATATATATTCTTATATATTTAAACCGATCTGTCTCAGAACAGATTAAGTTAGGTGACATAATGTCACTTATACTTTTCAAGATATAGAACCTCTAATTCTAATTTTAACCTGAACTTAATAGTTTAAGGCGAGTTTAATAAACGATTCAAAATGAACCAAGCGTATAAAGCGTGCTCGGATTTTTTTGTACTATTTAATAACGTGTACTAGCTTGGTCTAATACTCGCGATTCGGGACTAGATCTGGGCACCTCCGAATTCCGATCGAAATTCATTTCGATATGTTCCATGATAGGTACCGGAGCAGTGATGCCATTTCCAGTTCGTTTACAGCATTTTACAGCATGTGGAAGGGATACAGTGGTAAGCGGCGGTTGAGCCACTGTCGTGACACACACAAAGTCATAAGTCTATGTTCGTATGTGGTCATACTTCGACCAGCTTCGAGCGATAGAAGAGAGCGGTATCTCCATCCTTCTTGCTGACCGCTTATTTCAAGTGACCGAAAATGCATATGATTACAATTTATTAAAAGTTACATATTATCTGAATTGTTCCTTATCGACACACATCGGGTGGCCGAGATTGCCGAAAAATTATTTTCGGTTACTTGAAATAAGCGCTCAGCAAGAAGGTCGAAGATATCGCTCTCTTCTACCGCCCAAAGCTGGTCGAAGCGCGACCGTATACGGATGGGCTCATGCCTTTGTATTAAAGCTCTATATTACTAAAGTAGCACATTTCTTTTATCTTACCGACAGCTTTCCTATTGGCTATTTTACGGCCATCTTGGACCTAGTTGTCTATAGTCCAATAAGCGCTTAGTATTATTGGTAAAAATATCACTTGAGATTATTATCGAGAAGATTATCGAATTTGGAATTAAAAAAGGTCTGTACTATCGATCTCGATCAAATTCGGCCAACAATTCAGCATCCCCTTAAGGGGATCCTAAAGCCTCTTGTTTTACCGATTAAATCATGTAATTTTTGTATAACAAATACTTTTTTCTCTTTCACCGATTTGAAAATTCTTTTTCAGGATTAAAGTATATGCATTAATACATGTCTAGGAAGTGGAGTCTATGCCTAGAATTATAAAAAATTTAAAAATTGATATATTTTTTACGATTTCTTAGTGTAACATGGCGTCTCAGCTGTCAAGTCGTGACAACATTTGCTTGAAATAAATGCTTTGCAATCTGTACATACGAAATAGTGGTTCCCAGACACGTAGTTTGCACGAACAAATTACGTCAAGTTTTTAGAATTAGATTTAAACGCTTTATCGCGACAAATTTGTTATACGAAAATTGACACGAATGTGCGACTGCATTTTATAGGTTGCGTGAGATATTGATGTGGTAGTATATAAAAACATGTCGATGCGCGGCGTGATCTCTGATGATTTCGTTAGAGTTCGAGGTTCGCTTTAGGATTCCCTTAAGGGGAAAGCCGTCTGTATTATCGACTATCCAGCAAACGAGAATGGATTGAAATGGATTCAGATTTTTAGAAATATGGATTCATGAATGTTAAAAAATAAATCCTTTTCAATTCTGAATGCTAATATTTATTCATTATAAAAATTGTATAAAGCAAATGTCTATGCTTTTTCAATCCTGAATGCATTTTTATTCATTTACAGGAGTTGCATAGAGCATATCTCTATGCCTTTCAATCTAAAAATAATATTATAGTATTTTGTGTGCACTATTATGAATGCTGCTCAATTCAAAATTGTGAATAGGAAATGCAGTTTTTCAATCCAGTTAAATTAAAAAATAATATCAGCTATTTCTGTGCATTGTGAATACTGCTCAATTCAAAATTCTGAATAGAAAATGCAGTTTTTTCCAATCCAATTACATAAAAAAAAAGTTTTTCTTTTAAAATGGACCATAAATGCTACTTAAATTATTTAAAATTATAAGTTGGAAATTTTTTGTTTTAATCCAACTAAGTTAAAAAAAGTAGCGTAAAAATAATTGAGCTATGTTCTTTTGTTTCTATTTTTATTAGAAATAAAATGAACGATTGAATGTGAATACTCGTGACAAACCAAGTCGAACACAGCCCGAATATTACACTGATCACGGCGCGCGACATCGACCAAGCGAGATTAGATTATCCGACACTTACCCAATGTTATCTTATAGTAATGTAAATTGATTATATTTTATTATATCTGTTGAATAATGATATTTTTATTATGTCTATATAATTTCGTGCACTGATTTAGCTGGTTGTAATTGAAGTAGAGAATGCATAACACATTTACAAAAATTGAAAAAGTGGTAAAACAGGTAACGTAGAAGATTCATAATCCAGAGATCCCAAAATTCCTGATTCGAATTCCTAAAGTGCGTTTTTTAAAACCAATTTAAAGTAGTTAATTTCAGGTATAATTATTATAAATAACTTAGGGAATAAAATTTGTAACCCTTAAATGCGAATGTATTTTTTTTTCGAATATTAAATTAGTGTCAGCTCGGACCCAATCCATTTCAATCCATTCAATCCATTTTTATGAATTTAAAGTTTTTACGCATTAAAAAAATTTTAATCCATTTTAATCCATTTTCATTTCCTGGGAGAATATATTCTTTTTGTTATTTGATTAGTTAATATTATTTTCTGTGTAAAGTTAAAAAATAGTTTTTTCTTATTCTGAAAAACTTAATTTTTTTAATTTTGTCATTTTTAAAGTAAGGAAGCGATATGTCAATATATATATATATATATAATTGAAGATGTAATAATAAATAATTATTTTACTCAAAAATCTTTGAGCTTGCATTTGCACCGAGCGCTTTGTTGTTTGTTAATTATTATATGTTACTATATTGTATGTTACGTACGAAGTAATCCTTGGGTGGCAGGCTTAGGTTTGTTCTTAGAGTTTTCTCGCCACTTCTCGTATGCCTTTGTGCTTTGCTCCAATCTCCTCTCGCGCTCTTCATCCATCTTCTTCTGTCTCATCTCCTGCTGCTTACGCTGGGCTGCAAAACAAGACATGTCAATTTTTATCATCTTAGCGTTTTGCCAAACGGCTGTATCTTAGTTTAAATACATCATTACTAACTAATAACTTTCTATTAAATTATATTAATTTTTGGCAATATGTATTAACATGTACATGTGTATTTAATTAATCATTTTAATGCATATTGTACCAATTTAGTGGATCATTTTTTGAATATATTGCTGAAATTAAAATAATTTAATAGAAAGTTATTAGTTAATATGTATATCAAGTGTACGATGTAAACTAAGCATAGCATTGGACCAAGCGACGTGTCGCACCCGTCTGTTCCTCCTTCTTTTTATGAAACCATCGACGAAGATATGTGGTCTTTGCACCGGCAAGATTATCCTCAATCTCCTTCAAACGCCTCTGCAATTCCAACTCATTCTCGAGCATTGCTCTTCTGTCCAGTTCCTGCTGCCTTTTCCTTTCGATCCATTTGAGAAAGTTCTCCCTTTCCAAACGCGCTCTCTCTTCCTTTTTTTGCGCCTCCCTCTCTTCTTCCTCCTGTCGCTTTTTCAAAGCGAGTTCCTCTTTCTCCCTCGTCCGCTGTGCGGCCTCATGTTTCTTGCGCATCCATTCTGAATGGGCGATCCTTCTGTCAAGGTCTGATATCTGATGATGATTGCTGATACTTGATTCAACCGAGAGCGACGTCGTGGAAATTCGCACGATCTGGCGACCATCTAGGACATCATACCTGCGACATCGTACTCTCACATATATACTTCAACGATTAAATAAAAATTGTATTGTGAAACAAACGTACTTGTCATGTTTTGTCGTCTCATTCTGATCAATGTTCACTTTATTTTGATCAACAGAGATGCTATCAATCTTGCATCGTCGCTCCATTCGTGTATTTCTTCCAGACGAGATTGTGGACCGAGTAGTGGATAATTCAAGAGGCAACGTAGCATCTGGAAAGGATGTTGAATAACACCTATAGGTGCTCTGTCCCAAGTGTTCGTTTACGTGATCAGTGCTTGTTGTATCCTTTGCGACAGATAGGTCGATTGTCGAAGCATTAAAATCGCAACGATTTGTGTCAATCAAGTTTCCGTTACAATATCCTACAAAGAAATGAACTCGCAAAGTATTGCTACAGGAATTCAATTACAAAGAAATATGAACCCTCAAAAGAAGGAGAATATTCCTATTAAAATGTTTACTGATTATAATAAAGCTGTTCTATATTGATTCTGGTTTTGCAATTGTCATTCCAAATAGAATAACAAGTCATGATAATGTCAAAATGATGTTAAAATACATTATTATTGATTAAAAAATGATTTTTATTAATTTTTAAGTCATTTTGACTTTGTGTTCTACTAAAGATTCTTCTTTTCCTTTAACTATTACTTTTACTACTCTTTTACTTACTATTTATCTGGTTCGGTTAGAAATTACTTTAATTTTTAAAATTTTATTCAAAAAGGATCTAAAAGGTTGAGTTCAAGCAGAATAACAAGGCATTATAATATCAAAATTATATCAAAATGATTTCAAAATGATCATTAAAAGTCATTTTTCAATCATTACCGATTCTTTTTAATGTCATTTTGACATTATCATGACTTGTTGTTTTGCTTGGATTTCCTCAATCTTCTAATTTAAATTTGACAGCAACCTTCCTGTTCACGATCGCTTTCAGATTCTTCTTCGTTGATAGATTCTGTATAAATAGCAGGGTTGATGTAACGGATCTCGGAACCGGAACTCGAGTGTTTCACTCGCGTCAAAGTCATATCTTCGTCGGAATCGACATGATCGACGAGACCAAACCTCTTTCGAACAAATTCATTAGAATTGAATCCCGTTTTCCAGTTATCAATGTCGTTATCATTGGTCATCATTGCAGGCCTTTGACGACAACTCATTTATTATTATATCGTTCGACGAAACACAATCATCGTTTCGTTGCGATTCAACTGCGTGTAAAATGTTATTACGGAAATGTTGTTACTCGTTTGAGAAATCATCCGATGCTGCATTTTTTAGAGAACAATGACGAATCCGTGGTGGAAGAAGACAAGGTAAACCAATTTCAAAGATGCGCAATAGTTAATTTATTCAATCAATCAGAAGTTAGCCATCGTGCAAAAAGCAATGTGGCTCCTTTCTGTCATCTAGTCATGATACTTGAGTATAATCAGATAGAAACTTGAGAAAGGATATGAGAACTTTTTTCAGGGCACAAAACTGAGGAGATTTTTTTATTCCGTGCACGTCATCAAAGTTGAAGTTTATTTTTAAATTTTGCAAGATCCACTTCAAATTAGCATGGTTTGTAATAAAATTTTTATATAGAAACATGATTTAAAGCATTTGAATTTAAACTTTAAAACGCTTTCTTAAACATTGTTTCGTAATTATTTTTCGCAGATATATACGTAAATTTTGAATTTGGCTTTTTGTAATGCTAATTCTAAATGATCCTTTTAATTTCAAAATAGAGTAACTTCGTAAAAAGAGTCATAACGAGATTTTTCGAAAAGCATTTTAAAGGTTAAAATCTTTATTTTCGAAATTGGTAACTGATATTTCAATCTGGCTGATTTTTTATGGAAATACACAACGGACACAAATGGATCCGTCAAATCTGAAAATTTTATACAAATTTTACAAAGATCTATGGCGTGAAATAAAAATCACACAAATGTACGGTTTATGACAGTCGAAAGAATGAATCTTTATCTTTAATTTACTTTTTTTATTGAACATTGTATGATTTTTTATATCGAGTTATTCAACATTGAAACAAACATGATCATTTTTTCTTCAACATTCAATAACTCAGTGAAAAAAAATCGTATAACGATCAATAAAACATAATTTAAAGGTAAAGGTATATTCTTTCGATTGCTGTAAACCGCATTTTTGCGTGATTTTTACCTCATGTTATAGATACTTGTAAAATTTGTACAAAATTTTCAGATTTGACCAATATCTATTTGTGTCACGCATAGCTCTGTAAAGGATTAGATAGATTAGTTAGATTCAAATACGAATCATCGATTTAAATACGAAATATCAATTACGAATTTCAAAAGTAGAGATTCCAAGCTCCAAATGTTTTTTTTATTTTTTATTTGCGATGATTTTTCACCGAATTATAGTATTCTGAATATTGCACAATTTTGCACTGAAAAAAAATTCACGGAATTTGAATAAATATTTGTTTAGATAGTACTAATGAAGTTATTTACTTATAGTAAATAAATATTTGTTCAATTCAAAAAAATTATACTTAATTTAAGTATCATTTTTTTAAATCGAATAATTATTTATTTTCTGTAAACTAATGTGGTCTCATTGGTATTATCTAAACATTTATTCGAATTCCGTAATGGCCACAGCACAAACTCTTGCATAACAAGTAATGCATAAAAGAATCAATCAATCAAAATCTTTCTTTTCTAGGGAATGAGAGGAAAGGAAAGATTTTGATTAGTTGATTCGCATCCTATGATAGCATCCATTTTTCTTTCGGCACATCACCCACTTTTTAATCGTACTACATGTAACACAATTATATAAATCAAATATTGATTTATCATCTCCAGCGTTGAAAAATGGCGATGTGCCGAAAGAAAAATGAATGTTGCTATGTAGTTTACATCCACTATGTCAGAGGGCAGTAGTGCGCGGCAGCATTTTGCGATTACAGGTTTTGGACCGTCATCATCTTTTCTCAGGTTTCTCTCTGCTAATTAGTTACTGTATCGCGCATGTAACCGCATCCTAATGCCTAACCCCGCGCGGCAGCGTCTCGCATAGAAATATGCCCTAAGGAGTGGGGCGTAGGATACTTGATCCAGCCTAATCCTTTGGGACTAAGTTCTTCTATGTTCTCTGACACTCTGTTTTTGGACTTCCGACCGAGCGGATCAAGTTGAGTGATGGCTTCCACGACTTTATTTAAGTATAAACCACGTGTTCATTTTCTAAAAATATTGCTAATCCGATTCAATCCTTATCCATCATTTTCTCATTGAGCTTTCTTAGAGTTTTACAAGTTTTTGTTAGCATTCTGTAGATGTTAACATATATATTTCTAACATTATCGTAACTTTGAGATAATTTACTACTATGTGCTTTTAGTTAATCCATAATTTTTAACCAAGTAATTTAATTATCAGTTTATTTTAACATTAGTGGAATTTGTTATCGCGTGCTTGTAGCTATAATTTCTAATTAAGGCTCTTCAAGAATCATTACAGCTATATTGAATTGATCGTGACGTCAGAAGCGAGAAATGATACATTAATTTTTTTTGCGTACCATTATGATACGTTAATTTTTATTGCGTATATTTATAAATAAAGATAATTTGGATAAAACAAAATGATGAGATTGCTTTATAACATTTGTAAAAATGGACGTAAACTATACTTATCCTTCCTGACAGTAGTAAATAATCGTAAAAAGTGATAAAAGGCACGTGTAAGTGAAAATAACTACTGAAAAAAAAATGACAAAGTTATATAACGAAATCATGTAATTAAAACATATAAATCATGCAATGGATCGTTTCAGATTAAAACGTAATTTTTTAAAATTACATAATTTAAAAAGTAACACGATGATGTTCTTCTATTTCTATCATTTAATTATTTAAAATTCGATAACTATATAAAATTAATGATAATTAGTAATTAATGTTTAGTAGTACTAATGTAATTTACTACGATTATTCCCAATAAAGCTTGTAACCAAGTAAATGTAGTAGTAATTGTCACTGATTACGCAAGAAAATAAAGTTCAGTGATTAATCTACATATGTAAGAAGCGACACGCATACACATATATATAGATATTACTTTGTAAAGATTCAAACTTAGAAATTTTAATAATTGAATAAACATATTTGTAAGTGCTCGAGAAATTACTTTAGATTCCTAATCATATCCTCTCAGATTCCATTTCCCTAAAAATATTAGTGTAAGTGTTACGACGAACGAGTTGCCATATGAACGCCAACCGCCACATGGCCGTCAAGAACCCTAGAAAATGGTGAGTTACGCTGTCGCTCGCGGGAATCACTAAAGTAAGTCAATCCAATATATTACGTCTGTCTTCGACGTTGCCTGGCACTCTCGGCCACATGTAAAGTCACTACTAGATTTATAAAGTACCGCAAACTTACCTCTATCTTGACACAAAACGTAATCATTTTCAAACTTATGTAATTGTATACACGTATTTTGTTAGGAAAATAAAACTAAATCAATTTTTAATTGTAACTAATTTATGAACCAAAAGAAATATTTTATAAATGCTAAATTTTTATATTTTTTACTCCAATACGGGTTTATTTATTGCTGAAGTGTCAGTGCAGAAATTTCATGCACAGGTTGTAGAGGCGCGGAAATAAGTACGAGTTTCACGATAATATTCTCTGATGATACTCTTGATACCACCTCCAAAGATCAGTTTCCAAAGTTCTATTGAACGGTGATGATAAAAAAGAAAAATTTCATTTATTTCGTGATAAAATTGATGCATCTATATTATATGCAGGACATCTTGCAAAATGCCTTCATTTAAGCAAAAACCAGCTACCCATTTCCTCAGTTGATAGTCCAGGAAGAGGAATATTTCGCGCATATATACGTAAATATCTGTAGGCCTTTGGACGGAGCGCATTGAAATTGCAACACAAATATCTTCTGCAGACCAATGTGTCTTTTTTTCTGAGGATTAAGAAACAATCTTATTTGTCCTGGTGTGAAAGACTTGCTCAATATTTCCTTGATTTTTTTATTGATATTGATACTGCTTTTCTTTTGTTTAGTCTGCATTAAAAGTCTATTTTTTTTTTTAGTATGCATTAAAAATGCATTTATTTTTTTAATCAGCATTAAAAGTTGTCTTTCTAAGACATTGACTTTTATTTTATAAAACGCGTTTATCTTTTGACGACTTCGTTGTTGGAATGACTTGATGTTGAAAGGTGGGGCTGTTCTGCAGTTCGAGTTCCATGATTGTATGCTGAAAGTATTAAAAATGAGTTGTTTGTACAAACGACAGCGTAAATTCATTAATTTTTATTATTTCATATTTTCTAATAAAATATGAGTAGTTGTCAGCTAAGAAAAATATTTTTAATTAAATGAGAAAAATCCTCTCTCATTTAATTAGATTTGTTCCATATTGATCTATAATTTGTATTGTATTGCTTATAGAAATATTTATTATAAGTACTTCTACGAAGGACTAGAGCATTCATTATTCATATGAAAGCTCTAATTTATTATATGCTTAAAAACTTACCATAATCATGTGAATGGATTATTGTCGAAGAATGACTTATTTCTTGCGACGCCTCAGGTAAGTCAGTGTCAGCTACTCAATTGCTGATAGTATACATGTAATATGAATAAACCTATGATAATATTGTTACATCTGTTACATCATTAATTAATTTTCATATATACGAAAGTGCACGTCAGAGCTACTGATGTTCCTATGCGTTCAGTAGGAATTGCATTAGATTTCAATTTCTGAATTTCTTGTGATGAGCTTTTCAACAATGTTCATCTATGGGTTTCATCTACGAAGATTTCAGGTGTAACTAGTTAACGACTCCCTTTTCAATTAATTTGGCTCAAAGCCACGTCGAGGCGCTATTATAACGCGATGCTCACATCATAAGTTCTCTGCCGTGTGATTGATCTATAGGTCACAGGGAATCTTGCTAATGATGGCCCCTGATTGGCCCCTTGAGTTATTTCGAACGAAGCGTGAACTAGGGATGGTGTATCGATCGCAAAATATCGATATTTAGTATCGATACGTATCATCAGTTTAAATATCGATACGGCAAAATATCGGTAAGTGGAATATCGATATTGGAAATATCAGTCAATATCGGTACACCTAGGGTCATTAATTCGCGCGGAGAGCCCGTTATGGTGTCTTTGTCTTTCACATTAAGATGAATAGGGGAAAGCACGGGGATCAACAGAGGGAGTTCCCCGTTCTTAATTAATGACCCAGCTGGCAATGTCTAAATTTTGAAGAACTGTAAGTAAAAATTCATATCAAACTTCAAAAATTCATTTATTTAACAACATTATTTACTACTGAAATTTTCTTCTTAAAGAACAATTAACGGATTTTAATCAATGAGGGTTAACTTTCTCAAAAAATGATTATTTACAGCGTATCTGAACATTATTTTTGTTTTAATGTCTAACGATAAATATAGCGATTTGTTTACAAAAATTAGTTTTTATTTGATGATTTGTTTAATAATTAAATGTTACAAACTGAATTCATAGAATTTCTTTCAGAGAAGTTGTTGGGTTGAGAATCATTTTCTTGGAAAATTACGCTGCCATTGTTTGCAATCCGTTAATTGTTAAAGGTTTTAAACTATTTTTTATGAAGAAAATTTCAGTAATTAATAATAGTTATTAATTTAATGAATTTTGCTGATTTCGATTTTTCTTTTCGAGAAAAAGAGTTCTTTCTCCCTTCGGTAACATCGTTTTTTGAAAAACTGATTTTAGTGTATCGATCTTCCTTAACAAGTCTTTAATTTAATGCAAAAAAATACGGCAGGTAGTATCACAAAGGTTTTATTTGATAAACTGTACATTCAAATATTTTGCTTCATAATGCATACCAATCTTCAATTGACAAAGAATTTAAAAATAGCAGTTGGTTGAGATGTTTGCCACTTAAACGATTTCGTGCTTCATTTAAAATTATGCCAGCTTTGAAAAATAAACGTTCTGAAGGAACAGACGTTCCAGCTAATGTGAAATGACGATTGGCTACTGCCGAAATTCGCGTGTTAGGATGATTATTCCAGAATTTTATTGGACAAGATGACATGTTGATAACTGGCCGATTTAAATAGCATTTCAATTCGTCAGATGTTTCGTTATCTCGGTTATCTCATCTGGATACCGATTCACTTGCTAAATTTTTATGGAAAGCCCAAAAATCGTTTTTCTTGTCTACATTTTCCTTATTTTCAGAGTCATTATTGTTAGGGATATCTTGCTCTATTTCAACTTCTTTTAATGCTCTATAAATTTTAGCAACTGCATTAGAACAAGCAATTTTATTTCTGAAATTTAGTTTTTTAAAACGTGGGTCCAGGATCGTCGCAATTGCAAGAAGAGAAACACATTCTACATCTTTAAATCTTTTAGAGAATTCTTTAATCAACAATTTTTTTAAACGCTCTCCAATTTCACTCGCTGGCTTACAGTTTTCTAATTTAAAATGTAATGTATTAACTACGAGTATTACCTTACTGGCTGTTAAGTATTTTTCACCACAAATCATTTTCGTTGCTTCTTCGAATGGTTTTAAAAGAGTGACGAATTCTTTTATTGTTTGGAGCTCACCTGAAGTTAACATTGGTGGAGCTGAAGGGCAGTGAAGAAGAATAGAACCAATTTTATCTGCCAAGTTGATAAACCGATCGAGCATTTCATATGTTGAGTTCCATCTCGTTTCCATACTTTGTATTAATTTCAAATTACTGTGCTCTCGTAACTGATCTGCGGCAATAACTGAATTTTTAAAATATCCAACAATTCTTTTTACTTTTTTGCAAAGACTATTAATTATTTCATCCTTTTTTATAACGTTAGAAGGAACCAAATTTAGAGTGTGAGCAAAACAGAACAGATGTTTGTCCGAGCCAAAGCCATCCACAACAGCTTTTCTTATATTACTAGCATTGTCGGTAATTATAGCCACTATATTTTCTTTCTCGATTCGCCAATCTGAGGTAATTTTTAGAAGCCAGTGTTTCAGATAATCAGCCGTATGATTTTCTTCTAATTCCGTCACGCCAATCGTTACAGATTTGAACTGTGTTCTCAATATGTAATGGGCTGTTACTCCAATGTAGCTCTTCGTATTCAATGTATCTGTCCATATATCTGCCGTCAAACAAATATCGTTTACCGATGATAATCTTTCTTTCATTATTTTCGATAAATAATCGTACTTTACTTCAATCAACCGAGTCACAGTATATCTGTAAGGAATTTTGTAAAGTGGTGACATGGTTGTCATAAGTAATCGAAATCCCTCCTTTTCAACTGTAGCAAAAGGTAGGTTGTCTTTGGCAAGCATATATATAATCTTCTCCGTAATTTCAGTTGCCTTCGAACCTCTATCTAAAATATATTTATGAAAAATGAGATATCATTTATTAAAACCACAACCAATTATTTGTTTCAATTCTTAACGTTGTCGATCTAACTTCGAATGATTTTTGCTTCGCGAATACTGCATTTAGTGTTGGCTGTTTCAATCCAGTAGATGTTGGAATGTTGCTTTTTTCACTCTCGAAGTTTCGTGATGCTGCTCCTTTAAATTTTTTTATTGGCGTCGATTCGTCAGATGAATTCGACATGTATCCTCCTTCATCTTCTTCATCAATAGTTTGTGACTGTAAAAAATCGTCATTTAATGTAATTTTTTCTTATTTTCGAAATTTGATAAGAATAAAAATGAAATCAAAAGAAGTGTTGTATATGAAACAGAAAATAAAAAACAACAAAAACAGATCAACAAAACAATAAGTAAAAAAAAAAACAATAATCGAAAGATTCAGCAAAATTATTATCAAGAAAAAAAATATTTAGCCATGCTTGAACATATTTCAATGCCGTTCAATACGAAAATGATTTATCTGAAAGTACATGATTACTTCAGAAGTCTATCAATACACATATATTACTTAAATTATTTGGAACTTAAAATTCTAAGCCAAAAAAATAATTTTCTGTGCAAAATGTATTTCAAAAGATAGATTTTAATTTTCAAATATTGTTTTTTGGCTAAATGTGCATTTGAATATTCTAAATAAAATAGTTTCGTTTTTAATTGCATAAAAATGTTTTTAAACACAAGTTAGATATTCGTTTTTTTTAAATTCTTAATTCTGATTTTGATCCGGTTGAATCCATTTCAATACTTGATCGATTATTGAAATTGTATACGATTCAACTGCTGAAAAAAATAAATTTATAGAAATAAGTACTTGATGATTATTGATGTGATATAGGATATTTAAATCACACAGTTTATATAGAAAAAATTGAGCAATATATACCATCTATAAAAGAGGTAAGAGAGACGAAAATTATTCAAGAAAATGTGCACGGGCAAAGACGAATTAAAAATCAAAAGATTTTATACAAATTTATTTTAAAAATGTATGTCGTTTAAAAGTATTACCATGGGTTCTCTTTTCCGTTTATTAGTTGTAGGTGTTTTGGATGTGACAGAACTAACAGAATTACCACTTTCCAGTAATTGAGGATGATATCGTTCCATGTGTCGCTGTAAATTTGTAGTGTTACCACTCGTTTTTACATTCCGTTGGCACATATTGCAAGTACCTCCGTCCTCTGTTTTCATGAAATGCTTCCACAATATATTTTTCGGTGCCACTAGAACATTTTATTTCAATTTTTTTTTTATAAAATATGTTTAAATATAATTTGTTCTGAAGGATCAGTTAGGAGAATGATATATGAACGTTAGAGTGCGTAACGTGCGTTAGTAACTGCGTAGTGTGGAATTTGGATTGACTGGCCAATAATTTGAGGTTAGGATATTTTTATAACATTTTTCTCTAAAACTGTAAAATAAAAAGCATTTCTGTAGGTGCAAACAAAGAAATAATATAGGAACAGAACTTGTAGGAAGTTACAGATTTTAAATCTCACCTCGGCTAGGAAATTTCGATTCCATTCACTTACAGCTCGGTAATCTCGGTAGACAACGGGTATATACTACAAACACAAATTTAAACAAAATAACAATTAATAATATGGTTATTTTCTAACAGATTTTTATATTTTATATCATTTACGCCTTTAGGCCATACTTTTTTTCACATATCCTTACAAAAATAAACAAAGGTTATGTTCCCCATAGAAAGGTATGTTACGAGGTAATCAGTATGTTAATCAGTGGGTTGTTGTGTACTGAGTTCTAACTCGATAATTATATACTTATCCTAGTGATTTAGATCGTTCTTCAAAGAACTCAAGTTTAACATAAAAATAATTTTCTCCGCAGTTGGTTCAATACACACTATGTTCGTATATATTATACACATATATACGAATATATGTATGATCCGATTTAGTATATCACGAAAATAGAATACATAAATAGATGATCGATGCCATTCGAGATTCGAGAGACGAATTATCGGTGGTGGCGCTGCTTTCGGGCTGCACTAGAGTCCCTCTAAGAACTCTACTATTATCACAGATGATTATGGCCGAAAAGATCATGAATATCGAATGTCGATATATGTATGCTTAGTATCGATACATGAAAATATCGGAATCTCAAATATCGATACAAAATATCGATATTTTAGCTACAAAATATCGATATTTCAAAATATCGATATTGTATCACCATCCCTAGCGTGAACGGACTCGGGGAGAATCGTACTGTGGTATAAGAGAGACGTATTGTACTGAGAACTGATTAAAAGTATTTCAAGTGAAGCAATAAGGCTTAAAGTGTGTGCAACACAAATATCTTCTGCAGACCAATGTATCTTTTTTTCTGAGGATTAGAAACAATCTTATTTATCCTGGTGTGAAAGACTTGCTCAATATTTCCTTGATCTTTTTATTGATATTGATCTTCTTTAATCTTCCTGACAACCATCCCCGTAACAATCATTGAATTATACAAGTATGACGTTATCTCAAAATGTTCACAATATATATAAACACGAGCTGCAGTGATAAA